TGTGGTTGGGGGGCAGGGGGAAGAAATGGCCCAAACAATGTATGCACATGTGAATAATGAATAAAAACTTTTTAAAAACTCAATGTCAATTTGCTTACTGGTTAAAATTCTAAATCCATGACTTCATTTTGGAACATGCATGATTACTTTTGGAAAAATGCTCCTTGAACTAAGAAACTGTCTTTACTATTTTGCTATTTATCTTGTAAGCCCAACATATTTCTTTTATTAAACTTCTAAGGTACATATGTGTAAAAAAAAAAAGATCTCCCAACTCCTCCCATTGCTAATTTTTTTGGATCATTATTTTTTATCAGATGCCTCCCTTTCCTTTAAAAAATTAAATATTTGAAAACTCTGCTTCTATATGAGAAGGTACCCTCCTTATCTATTGCATAGTTCTGTTTGTAAATTTCTTGTAGTCTATAGTCAATGTGTCCATTTCAATTAAATTTAACAAACATACATATTATATCAATTGAATGCCACTATACAACATGCCTCCAGGGGGCAAATAGATTACTTTCCTAAATGATTTTCCTCTCAGAGTGATTCCCATTATTCTGAAGGAACTAATTTGAATCCACTTTTTCTTTTTGTGGTGGGACTGGGGTTTGAACTCAGGGCTTTGAGCTTACAAAGTAGGCCCTCTACCATTTGAGCCACACTTGTAGTCCAGAATCCACTTTTAAGTAAGGCTGAAACCTGTTGTGCATTCTACAGGATGTGGTTTTTGGGAAAAGAGGGGGCCTTCTGATAAATTTAAGGGCCACAGAAAACATCTCCTGTTTCTCTTCCTGTCATTTGAGATGTTTTCTCTTTTTGTTAGGCATCTGATTAAGATTACATCTTACAAATTCATTACTTGAGGACACATTGAAGTAGGTAAAATTCTTGCTTCTTCTCTAATTTAGGAAAAGTTCTCCAATTTACCTACTAATAAAGATGTCCTTAATTCCTTTTAATTCTAAGTTTGAGGTGACTTAAGTGAGCACTGTGAGTTGCCCATATGCTTTCTAGACAAAATAGACATGATGGGTACTGTATTAAAAATTAAGCATATGCTTAATCTCAGCTAAATCACCTATAATTGAAATGTCAGCATCCCATACATAGATCATCACTAGTTGGGCTGCCACATGACTTGCTCAGTAATATTTGAGCTATTCATGTAGAAATCAATATCCCTCATGTAGGAGACTTCTCACTGTTCACTCATTTCCATTCTCTTTTTCCTCTTTTTATTCTAAGGTCCCATCCCTTATTAGTAGCAAGGCACATGACTGCCCAGATACAGAACTACTTTCCTTGCCTCTCTTATGACCAGGTATAATCACATGACCAAGTTGTCACCAATGGAATATAAGTAGAAATGATGTGCACAATTTCCACATGACTTTCAGAAAAAGAAACTGTTCACTCTCCATGTCTTTCCTTTCCTTCCTATGGATGGAACATGGATGTGTTGGCCTGTCATCTTAACCATGGAGATAGGACCAACTCCATTGGGAAGACAGAAACACTACATGGAAAGAACCTGAGTCCCTAAAACCTTGTGAAGCTGAGTTTCCTGCTCACTCTGGGCTTCCCTTCTACCTCTTAACTGTCAAGTGTGAGAGGAAGACACTTCATTTTTTTAAGCCTTTATATTTGAGAATCTCTTTTTTGAGAGCAGCTTAGCTGTAAACCTAACTCATAAAGGATATTCATTTATATTCAGTGAGAAATCCATTTTATTTCCATGTAGAAGTTACCTTCAGTCTTTTTTTTTTTTTGAACAAAGCTGCAACAACAAAATTTTGGAATAAAAAGGAGGTTAGTGTTGTACCATGGGAATTTACAAGTTAAATTTCCTTCAGTGAAAGAATATAGTACATTTATATTTTCTCTTAAAGGGACTTGATTCCATTCACATTAGCAGACATTTATTGAACACCTATTGTGGGTCAAACACTGTAGGAATTGTTAGGGATACAGAGAGGAAGCATATGTAGTCCCTGCTCTCCAGGAACTCACAATCTATTGAGGAAGACAGTACATATACACAAACAGTGCATAGAAGACAGGAGGCATCTAATAATAAAAGCACAAGGTAGGCTCTATGGAGCATAGAACTGTGAGAGAGGACTTAATAGGGATGGGAGGAAGGAAGATCTCAGGAAGACTTTACAGAAGAGATTGCATTTGAGCTATTTGTTGATGGGTTGATGGAAGAAAGATGAGGAATTGTGGAGCTCAGTTTTCTAAAGCAGTGGGAACAAATGGTTAGGGAAGCTTAAGAAGCACAAGTAATATTCAGAATTTTCTGAAGTACAAGGTGGGTGGGAAGAAGTGGTGAGCTATTACTCTAGAAAGGTAGTTTGAGTATTGCAATATAAAATCACTTACAGTACACTCTAAGACAGTGACTCAAACTTTATTATATATCACAATCTCCTGGAGGGCTTGTTAAAACAGAGATGGATGATTCTACTCTCAGAATTTCTGATTCAGTAGATTTTGAGTTAGGCTCTTGCTCTTTTTGCATTGTTAACAAGTTTCCAGGTGATGCTAATGCTAAGGGTGTGGATATACCATTCTGAGAACCTTACATTTGTGCAGGAAGATATTTCCGGCAAGTGTATGGGGAAAGAATCGCAGGTGGATGAGTGTAGAGGCAGGTGGATTCAATAAGATGAAATTATTGGAGAAGAAGGTGGCATGTGCAAATATTTCTGTAGTGGTAAATGGAAAGACTTCAGGACTATGTGGATGTGGGAGACATGCATGTGACAAAGACAGAGACTCACATTTACCTAGTATGAATTACAAAAACCATAGTGATTCTGTTATCTGAGACTGAGAGGGTAGAAGGAGGAGAAAGCTTGTATGTGGGAAAATGATCACGAGTTAGTTTAGAATGGTTGTATTTGAGGTACTGGCGGAATATTCACAGAGAAGTACTTTCCAAACATAATTCATGGGTCTGGAGTTTGAGAGAGGTATCAGAATAAAAGTAACAAATTTAAGAGCCACAGGCATGGCTCTTAAATGGTAGCGGTCAGATTGGAATATGGAGATACAGGAAGTTATTGCTGAGGACAAAGCCCCAGGATAAAGAATGAGGAGGTAAGGAAATGGAAGATCAGGAAAGGAAAATGTCCTGGAAGGCATGGTCTTAAATAAGAAAGGGATGATCAGCTGTCTTAATTGATGAGATGATGATAAAGACCAAGAGAAGGTCATTGGATTTGACAACTGGCAAGTCACCAGTGACCTTTGGGAGATCATATTGGGAAGAAATGGGAGGGTATACTCATTTGTAAGGCAAAGGATAGAAAAGTCAGTGGAAGGTGAGAAGTAGGAGCAGAATAAGTGGATTCATGATTGAAGAAGCTCAGGCAGGAAGTTAGAAGAAAGATGAAGCAGTAGCTTGATGTTATAGGGACCAGAAAAAGTTGATATTAGTGTCCAAAACACTTGAACAAAGTAATGGGTGAGAGTAAAGAAAATGGGGAGAAAAGTGGTGGGGTGGAGGGAAGGAAGAGAAAGAAAAAGAGGGTAAGAAAGAGAGAGGGAGGGGAGAAGGGAGTTATGGAAGGAGGGAAGGAGCAAGGTTATAGGGAAGTTGAGAGGGGAATTGATTTAAGAGATAAAACATGGAGGTGAAGAGGAGGCCAACCAATGTCCACTCAGTAAACAAGAGTGAGGAGATGGGGGAAAGTTCTGGATGAGAAGTCAGGAGCAGAGGCTTGGAACAGTCACTTATTTAGGAGTACACAAGAATTTATGCAATTTCAGTCCTTCTGCCATCACTCTTAGCTTAGTAGTAGTGAGCTCTTCCATTTGACTACAGCAATCACTCCAGGTCAGGGGAGGCTGAGTCAGGCCACTCTCTATGGCCTCTGGTTCTAGCTGCAGCCTCCTGGCCTCAGAGTGTGGTCTGGCATGGAAGTCACAGTGATTCCAGGAGGCACAATTTCATACTCATTTCTTGATGGGTGGCTTTTGCTGTAAACATAGAGTTTCAACATTTTATTTATTTCCCAGGACAAAACAATGAGTAATTCAATGAGTAACAAGTAATTACCCCAGGTAATTCAATGAGTAACAATCTCCAACAAAATTCAGTTTGATCACTATATCCCACTAAACTTCTTAAAAGTTCCTCAAACTTGACAAGTACTTCCACCTGAATCCTGCTGGATGAAGTGTATATGACAGGCTTAGCTGGGAGACTTTTTCAGAACCTGAGGAAGTTCAAGGTGTCGTCAGCATCACATTCACCAAAGTGGATTTGGATGATTTATTTGCTATGTTTCATATCCATAGTAAAAGACTTAGGAATATGCCAGTACTTTCATTGCAAGTTCCTTTTTAGAGAATGAGGAAGTTTATTTAATCATAAACTACAAAGAACATGTCAGCTGTACTGTTTTGCCTGTAAAAAGTAGGGTGTGTGTGTGTGTGTGTGTGTGTGTGAGACTTGTGGGAGGGGGAAGGGTAAATGAAAGAGATTAAGATGAGGGCATATGGTTGATGAACTTCAGAACAAAGAAATCTCTTGCAAATGCTTTAAGTGGGGCAGGGAGAGTAAAGAGGGGGAGAGATGGTGGGGTTGATTTAACCAATGTACAGAATAAGTGTATTTGGAATTGTCACAATGAATTCCCCAGTACAACGAATATATACTAATTTTAAAAAGTAGGTTATATAGTCACAGTGCTACAGCAAATGACTTTAGCTCAGATGTGCAAGCAGAGATGACAGAGCACCACTTTCCTTTTGCTCTTTATGTAGTCCTGCAATTCCCACTGGAACATGGATGCACCTAGAGTCATAACTTCAGATTGAATGCCACATAAGTGCAAATGATCAGATACTTGATTTTAAATGATAAGAAATTCTGAAAATAAAAATTTTGGGGAGTATTCTTTAATTGCAGGATTAACTGAAATGGCAAGAAAGAACATGAATAGTATTTACTATTTCACTTTATTATTATTTCTATGTGATTTCCTTTTTTGTATAACCACGCTTATTTGAAATTATGTACCACAGATAAGACCAGAGGTAGAAAAAAAGCACATCAAATAACAAGCCTCAAACAAACAAAGAAAAGAACAAAATAAACAAACACACATACTTACAAACTTTCCTGAACCAAGTACGTTTAAGAATTAATAAGTTGCACCCCTTACTCATGAGGCTCTGGTAAAAGTCGTGCCTTTTGATTTTTCACAACCTAAGTATGCTCTCGGCACCTAATGAGCTTTTTAAAAGCCAGCTTAAAGTCTTCATTGAAACTTGTGTACAGCAGAGGGTTGATTAGAGAATTAACATAACCAAGCCATGTCAAAAAATCAGCCACTTCTGAGGACACAGTGTAAATGCTTAGACCTACGATCAACTCTTTAATGAAAAATGGCAGCCAAGACAAAATGAATGCACCCAGAATCAGTCCCAGAATGCGTGCTGCCTTGCGTTCCCTGGTACTGGAGATTTGCTGCCGTTCTCCAGGGTGATCTAGATCACCGTCGAAGGGAGGGATCCTGAGGGAGGTGTGGATCTTTTCAAACTCTGTGGTAGGGTCTGAGGTGGAGAAGTCAGACACACAGAAAGTCTGTGTAAGTTTACAACTTGCAAAAGAATTCTGGCTGTCTGTGCTTCTGTTGCTTAAATGCCGGCTCGATCCTCTCTTTTGGTAAAGACTCTTGGCTGCATGGTAAATGCGGTAATAGAGAATCAGGATCAAAGTCAAGGGGATATAAAATGCCCCGAGTGTGGAGTATATGGTGTAGATGACATGGTCATGTTGGATGGCGCACTGACTGAGAGGTGGGCTGAGTTGCCGGTGGCTCCTCCAGAACAGAGGGGGCATGGAGATGAAAATGGAGATGGTCCAGACGGTGAGGATCATCAGCCCCGCCCTCTTGGCCGTCCTCTTCCTGGCATACTCAATAGCATTGGTGATGGCCCAGTATCTGTCCAGGGCAATCACACAGAGGTGGAGGATGGAGCAAGTGCAACAGGTCATGTCCACGCTCAGCCACACCTCACAGATGAAGTATCCAAGCTTCCAGCGGTCCATGACAATGTACATGATGCTCAGGGGCATGACGAGTACAGCCACCAGGAGGTCTGTCACAGCCAGAGAGCAGATCAGGTAGTTTGCAGGCTGGTGGAGCTTCTTGGTGGTGCAGATGGCTATGATCACAGCTGAGTTCAGCAGCATGGTCAACGTGGTGATGATCACCAGAGTCATGCAAATGAGCATCTTCTCAGTGACAGTCTTGGGTCTCACAGCCATGCTGGCTTCTGTGGTACAGTTAGTGAGGTTCATGTTTCCCTGGTTTCAGTCTATACTGTGGAGAAGCTGTTGGTTATTTTTCTCCAGTTGGAAACTATGTGGCCTTGAATGTCTCTCATTTGTAAGGAAACTATAATTTTGTTAGCTGCACAGTCTCTTGTGTTCCATTTTTTGTCAGCAAAGAAAAGGGCCACAGAATTTCTTCTGAGTGGAGAATTCCTGTAAAATATTATGTTACTGGTTAATAAGTGAAAAAGCTACAGTTTTCCAGGAAAGCAAAATGTTTTGGTATTCATAAAATACCACACATTTAAGATATGCATTTTTTTTTTCTCTCTGTGATTTGAGTTAATCTTCACATTATTCCTTAAAGGATACTTCTTTTTGAGTTAAATTCCCAAACTATTTCTGATAAACACATTACCAAATTTTAAGACCATCTTACCATCTTCTTATTTATATTCTTTTATATATATTTGTATTTAAAGAGGCTCTTTACATTTGAAAAGACATATTTACATTATATAAGACTTTAAAAATTGTGGGATCATTAAATTACAGAAAAATGATGTTTATAGTGAGTCAGATTTTAAACTTTCACAGCAAATATTCAATTCCAAAGGCATATTAAGTGTCACATAGGGATTGTACAGTTTTGTCTAATTACTTCTGACATTTTACATATCCCACTGTGCATTTCTTTGGAGAAAAGAGAGAAAACATGTAAATTACTTGATGCTTGTGGTAAATTGTTCTCAGGGTAATACAATAAATCAACTGTTGAAACAACACTACCACCAAACTCAGCTATTGGGGCTAGGGGTGTAGCTCAGTGGAAGACCACTTGCCTAGCATGCACAAGGCCCTGAGTTCAAACCTCAGCATCATACATACACACACATACACACATAACCTCCTCCCAAACCAAAAGCCCCAAACTAAACAAATCCTGAATTCATTATGGGGAAGGAGGATGGGTAAAGGGAGATCAAATAAGATCAATGCATGCTGTATGTATGTAGAGAAAAAGCACTAATACACACAATTAATGTGTTATTATTAAGATTAGTAATTGTAATAAATAAAACAAATGATGAAAAATTTGAAGATATGTTTAGTTTTATTTGATATGTGTGTTCTGCATATGTATGTCTATATCTATTTATCTCTCAGAGAGCTATGATTATGCTGGTCAGTTAATGATAAAGAGACCTTTTTTTTTTTTAGTATAGGAGATACATAAACCAGTAACATAGTCATTTATTATCATAATCAAGTAAGTCAATGACATTTTTAAAGAAAGATAAAGTCAAACAGATTCACAGGAACTGCGCAATCAAAAATCTGCATGGGAATAGTCACAGCTAATGGCTGCTGGATAGAAGGCTGATTCAATTCTCTGATTTGACTCCATGAGATTCAGTCCAAGAAGACTTCAAAGAAAAATGGGTATTTCAGCAGTTTTAAGAAGAAACATAGATTGCTGTGCTTCAGGTTTAGCAGACACAATGATTTTAACAAAGATGTGTGAAATAGGGAGTGAGTATGAGTGGGAGTTTTTGGGTAGATTTGGGACTAGAAGTCAAGAAGCAGGGGTAAAATTCTCCAGTCCTTGGGTGAGATTTAGTCCTGGATTTCTCCTGTTCACAGAGAAGAACACCAAGAAGAGAGGGAAGTAGGTACCAATTGTCCTTCAGATAGAGAAAAAAAAAGAAAATAATGATTTCACTAAAGACTACAAAAGTGACAATTGTTTTAAGGCCGTGTGGGTCATTCTGAAGTTGAATGACACCTTCTGCCTTCTTTTGCATTATCTTTCACAGTGCTTCTGTAGATTTCCTACTTTTTTGGATTTCTTCTGTGTTTTTCTGGTCGTTCCATAGGGCTTACTCTACCAATAATTCCCTCTTTCATGCAGACTGAATGGTTTCTTCAACACTGGTGTCTGTCCCTCCTTTTCTAATTGGTTTTGTATCTGAAACAATCTATAGAATTGGAAGAGGATGAGCTTTGGAATCAGACAGATCTGGCCGCAGATGCAGCTGGGTCAACCTTTCGGCATTTCCTTATGTGTTCCAAGTATTTATGCCTCCATTTTGACCTCTATCTGTTTCTTATAATTTTATTAGCATAAAATAGTTGTACAGGGGGATATATTGTGATATTTATTGTGTTTAAAATGTATCTTAGTTGGATTTACCCCCTCCATCATTCTCCCTCTTCTCCCCTCTCCACCTTCCTAGCAGAATTTCAATAGGTTTCACTTTTCTATCTGCGTATATGGATACAAAGCCCACCCACCATATACACCCTCATTACCCCTTTCCTTATGCTCACCCCACTCCCACTGCTACCCACCCTCCTGCCTTTCTTTTCTTTTTTTTTTTTTTTGATAAAGCATATATTGATGGTCAAAGGGGATTTTGCCTTGGTACAGACCTGAAGTACTTGGTACTTCAGGTCTGTATATATCATGCTTTAAGCAAATTAATCTCCTCCCCCCATTACTGACTCATTCTCTATCACCATGCTCCCCTAATATTTGACAGTTTACTGTACAGTGCATTATACTGTATTCATATAGAAGTGGGTTCTTTCAATATTTTTCATTCTTTCACATTTTCTTTGTCTCTCTCACCTCCCCATAGCTCCCTCAGACTCACTAATACAATTTTGTTCTCTCTCTCACTATATCTGTCTATATATCATCTATCTATCTATCTATGATCATATGTTTCTGTACATACATTTATGTGATCCCTATCTCTTTAAAAATGAATAAGTTGGTTTTAAACTCATGTATTAATGTTTGATTACGTTTTTCTTGATTTTTGAGATTTGTTGGGTAGAGTGGTTCTCAACCAAAAGGTTTTTCTACTTCAACTGTAAAGCTGAGAATAAAGAGAAAAGCATAGACAAGGGACAGAAAACTTTAGAAATTTTGATTTGTAGTAGAGGCAACTAAGAAATGTAGTTGCTTTGAAAACATGCAGCAAAAACAATCAGAAATAATTCAGCTTGTAGAGCTTTCTAAAGCTGCTCTCTTTACTGAGTTTCCTTAACTACTATTTGTCACTTCTCTGGTGACATCATTTTCTTCCTTGTTTGTGACTTTTAAAAGTTATTCCATTATGCCATACATTTTTTTATGGGTGGAATGTATGTCTCATTTTAACTACTTCTAGTTAAATGATTAAAAACACTACAGGTTGAGGGCCTACATTCTGAGTTCTTTAATGTAACTTTCTAGTTTATTTTGTACACAAGCCTTTCAGAGTAGGGGTTAAATTTTGTTTTCAGAGACCTTAAACTCCTGCATATTTCCAGCTTTTCCTTTCAGCTTCTTTTCATTTAGCAATATATTTTGAAGTTTACTTTTTAACAGCACATTTAATGTGGTCTTTTGAGTGGCTAGGTAAGATTAGGTTCAGGAAGACCTACCTGGGGAGTTACTTACAGTTTGAAAAGGTCTGAGATCTGGAACTGGAACTCTTCACTATTGAAAGATCAGGGAGGTAATGAGGAACCAGGAAAGCAGATGGAGAAAACAGCTATTCAGGTGGAGGACAATGATGAGAGGTAATTTTATACCATGACCAAGTGAAGAAAGCCTGTGGATAAAGACATAGTCATCAGTTATATAAACTCTGCTGACAAGTCAAGGCTGATGGGGGTTTGAACGCTGGACAGGGCGACATGATGACATTAATGATCTTGACAAGAACAGTTTGGTGAAGTTGTGGAGATGAAAGTTTGAATGAATGTGGTCATTTCAAGAAAGAATGGGAGGAGAGAGAATAGGGAGAGTGAGCAAGAATATTTTAAGAGTTTTGCTGAAACAAGATGATTGTGGAAATAAATAGCTATGGATTGTGATGTGGGGCCAAAATGGTTGTTATTTATTTATTTATTTTCTGTGAGGCTGTTTACAATTTTCTTTGCTACAACACTCAGTATTGGGACAGAGAACATTTTTGGAACACGTGAAACTTGACAGAGGAAGATAAAAAGCAGTAAAGAAGGAGGCTAGTGAGAGTTAGTAGGGCTTCAGGGCACCAGGTAAGTAGAATTCTAGAAACAATTTAGGTCATTTTTGGAGCAGTAAAAAGATCAAAGATAACAGCCATACTCAGGAAATGATTCAACCTCAATCATCTTGGGTTCCTTTTACCTTCTTAAGAAAAAAACACATGGTTTTTATAAACCATTACCAAGATTTTAGTGGGTAGTATGGTTTCTAATTAGAACAGTGTTGGTTAAATAACACCTGGAAATCTTTTCCATTTCTATCTATTCACATAGTGGTGGAGGAAGGACTACAATAACACTTAACTTGAGCCATGTTCTGTAGAAATGATCCAAATGCTAATACAAGCACACCAAACTTTTATTAGTCCAGTGGAATATAAAATGAACTGCAATAATCTTAGAGAAAAACAAATATTTCCTACTAAGGAATTGATGCAGGAACTTCTTGGGGATTTGTAACTATCAGTTTCTGCTTTAATTACAACATGGAAAACAGCAGTGCAGTCCAAGTCCATATTCAATTTTTTCACTAAAATTACAAAGAGGAGAGAATCACTCTAAACCAAATTGGTCAGTGCACACTGATCTGTATTTATTAGAATAGTCCAGAGCCTCTGATTTATACCATTTTGGTGAAGGTCAGAGCACCAGCAGGAAGTCACAGGGACACTAATGCTAAGGCAGACTTTGGCTCACTGTTCTTCAGGGGCATTCATCTTTTGCAGGTAGAGGGAGAGGGATAAGAATGTTTTTCTTATTCAGTGGAACTTTCCAAAGCATCTAGTGTTACTTGGAAGGATGAGTTAGCTGATACCTGCTCATCTTAAAAATTCTTTCAGAGAAGGTTTTATATTTTGGACCAAGTTCTTCCATTAGAAAACTAAATTCTTTCATAAATTCTACTTTATTTCATTCTAAAAATATGCTTAAGTCAAAAGTTTTGAAGAGGAAGTTTAGAGTCCTGGCTACAGGCACAGACTCTGACGTGTGCTCTGCCACTCAGTAGCTGCAGTGTAATTGTAAACAAGGTCTTTAACCTTAGCTATTTTCCTCCTCTTTAAATTGGGGATAATAATACATTCCTCACAGGATTAATGTAGTTTGAGTATCAAATTGAACAGAGGGGCCCCTGGAAACCTCCATTATGACCTCCCTGTGACCTTAAAGGGTGGGAAAAAGGAAAAGC